CGTACATAGCGATCAAAACAAAGTTGGACGAACTGATTACAACAGTGTCGTCGTCCATAACCTTACATATGGCGTTGACTATTTTGCTGTCATGCAAAATTGCCACGCCGCCGCTAGGTCGGCCGGGTCCCGCTTGCTCCGTCGCGAGTGATTGAACGACATGAAATAGAGGGACATCCACCGGGTGAGTTTTCCAGGTTTCGGTGGAGATAAATATGTCAAATCTCCTGAGCATATGCGTTGTGAGACGACTAGGGCCTTCCTTCAGCCCCTTGCAATTCCACAGCGCAAGGGTACAATTGTTTTCGTGTCGGGTGTGGATCTGGGGTGAGTTCGGGGGATGCTGCGAGCTTGTTGGGAGTGCACTTGATTCGCCATCTATTAGGCCTCTAAAGGGGGTCGTTCCACGATAATTCCATAGTGCGTGCCAATATTGGTGAGAACATGCGGCTCAAGCAGGACACCATTCTTCATACTTCAGCTCGCATCCCCGTGAGCTGCGAGCGAAGTCTCCCTCTACCGTTTTCACTTTCGATGATTGGCCCTAGCCGCCTCGCCGCTCATGCGAATTCCATGCCCACGGTCGCGTGCCGAGTCTCTCCGATCACACACCGCCTGCTCTTTCACGTCCTTAGGATGCTTAATTCTCCTTGCTGCTACCGCAGTTACGGCAGGGTAGGTCACGAGCGTGTCCGTCTAGGGCTCTCCATGTCCTCCTTGATCTTTTGACGTCCGTGACCGCTGCATCGCCTTCGTCTTCCGCTGGGTTCGATGGTGGCGGCATCCCTGTCCTCTTCACTAAACTCGAAATTTCGTCCCGCGCTCTTTGTTGTATCTCCTTCCCCAAGCATTTTAAGTGCTTCTCTCTAGCCGCCAATGTTTTTCTGTGCTCCGCCGTTTATGGCTCCAGCCATCATTCGTCCTCCTGTACTGGCGATCCTTGAGTTCAGCATTGTGCTGGTGTGACGTTCGCCAGCTTGCGAAGCAGATTTCCATTAGAAGTTAGCAACCTTGTCTTGGAAGTGTGGCCTGCTGCGTTTGCTCGCCCGATGGCTCTCATTCCACGATTTTCACGGGCGCTTCCGCATTCCCATTCGCTTGATGGTGTTACGGTGATACCAATTTCATGGTTTCATGGGTCATTTGATCTGACTAGAGTACAGCCGATTCCGCTCATTGGAACCACCGGATGATGGAACCAAGCGCTTATTCGAACCAAATCGCGGATCCCCGATTTTTTCCAGCCGAAGTCACTTCGCTGAATCGGACCGTTTCGAGCATCCCATTCTTCTGACTCTGACCTTCAGATGGAGCAGAATAGACTCCTTTTCTCATGGGGTATCGATGAAACGTTCTTTCCTTAAACACTACCGTGCTCGAATTCGATCCTGTCGTTACAAGTTCACTCAATCCCTTGTGGACAGAGTCAGTTCCTCTCCTAAAAAGCTCTGGCATCTCATCAATGAGTCTGTCGGGCGTTCTCGGACCTTGAGTTCACCCCTCTCCCATAGCGCATTAGCTGATCGTGAGAGTTTCGATGTACTCAATGATTTTGCGAAATTCTTTGCGTCTATTGGAGCAACGACAGCGAGTCTCCCCTCCCCTTCGTCCAACATTTCCTCTGATCCCATTCATACCCGGACTTTCGATTCCTTCAAAGAATCCGCTGCTGACTGGGCTCTCAAGTTCATCGACCCTCACTCCCTCCCTACGATCTGCCTCGATATCGAGACCAATTACGCGCGTTCTACGTCTGATGTCCCCTCCAAAGCCATCGTACTCGCTATCGAGCTTCTTTTTATCCCAACCGCCTCTCTCTTTAATCTTTCTATCCGCACAGGAGTCTTCCCAGCCTCTTTCAAGCTTGCATCTGTCACTTATCTCTTTGAAGGCAAGGGAGCTCGGGCTCGACCGGCCAATTACCGTCCCATAAGTATTCTCCCTTTCCTCTCCAAGCTCTTCAAAATGTGTTCCCACCCCACTCAACGACTAAGATTCCTCTCGTGCCCACCTCTCGTGCCATCAGCACGGCTTCAGAGCTAAGTTCTCGACAGACACAGCCCTATGTGAGATCCGTAGCTTTATTCTGGAGAACTGTGTTGCCAAATCCTCTGTTGTTGGTATCTTCCCTGACCCAGCGAAGGCGTTTGACTGCCTTGACCATTCGATTCTCCTTCGTTTCCTTAGAAACACTGGAGTCTCTGATCAATCCCTTGTCTGGTTCGAATCTTATGTCAAATCGTTTCCTTACTGTCACTGTTGATGGTATATCATCCTCCTCCTTTCCCATCACCCATGGAGTTCCCCAAGGCTCGGTTCTGGGCCCGTACTGGGCCCTCTATATCAACATCCTCCTCGAACATGGCAACTCTCTCTGCACCTAACCTAACCCACTCTCTCGAAACGCGTTATTTCTTTCGCGGACGACACTACGATTCTGTTCAGCTTCTCTCCTCTCAGCACAGAAAGGGACATTGCGGTCCTCAATTCCCACCTCGTA